GACGGAGCAGTGGGTCTTCTCAAGACCGAGATAACCACTCAATGCAGTATCATGTGCCTCATAAAGGAACCAATACTTCAGCTCCTCATCATGAGGGAAAACAATACGAGTAATATCCTTTTCATCTGTGCTTAAGCACAACAGGCCTTGATCGATGGACAACAATGTAGCCTTGCACTCAAACGTGCCGACAAATCTACGTCTGAGTTCTTAAACTACTTGCTCCCAAGAGCACGTAGCATAGCTACACAGTTTTCATCCTTGGCTTATGCCGCACGGATGAGGTCAGTGACCGATGACGACAGAGTCAAAACATGAGCAAGCTTATAAGTAGGCTTGCGAGACAGCGCATCAGCCAAATCATTCTGCTTGCCCGACTTATCCTTCATCTCGAAGTTGTAATCGGCAAAGAAGAATGCCAACTAGCCATTATGTAAGAAAGATGGGGCAAATCAGTCCCATTTATCAGCGACAAACGATCGGTATCGATCACAAACGGCTTGGATCCAAGCAGATGAATTCAGAATTTGACAAGAGCATACTTCATTAAATTATCTCTTTGTCATGAACTGGGTAGTTCTTCTCAGCAGCGTTGAGCTGTCGAGACTCAACGCGATGACGCACTCTCGTCCATCATAATTTGTTTGTAACATAGCACTGCCTCTGGCGAAGTTAGATGCGTCACAGACGACACTGAAAGATCGATCAGGACCAGGCAAAGCCAAGATTGGCGTATAAAGGAGACTCCCCTTTACTGCTTGAAAAGCAGCATACTCGGTGCTAGTCCAGCACCATTCCTTATCTCTTCAAGGATATTGGATAATGGCCGAGCCATATCTGCGTAATTCGCTCTGTACTTGTGTAAGTAATTGAAAAGAGGAAAAACCACTTACGTAGGTAGTTTTGGTTCTTAGGAACCGGCCAAACAACTATGGTGTTAACCTTAGCGGGATCCGCTCGAGGGCCTCGCTTCCCAATGAAGCACCCTATTAAGGGAATTTCTTCTGCACCAAAGATGCACTTCGAGGCGTTAATACACATCTTATTCGTGCGCATGCACTCAAGCACTGCTCTTAGAAGATCAATGTGACTTTCCACATCCGACCGACCGTTCATAGCACGACTATGGACAAAGATGTCATTAAAGTACGTCTGTGCATAACCTCTATGAGGTCTGAACAGCTGCGTCACAATACAATTAAACGTAGCCGGGTCATTTGATGGCCCTTGTGGCATAACAAGTCACTCCCAGAGTACACCGATCGGAGTGCTGACCGCTGTCAGCGGAATATCTCTTCCTCGCAAGAGAAGTTGGTAACAACCATCGACTAAGTCGAGCGCACTATACATGTTCATCCCACCATATTGTTCTGAAGAACAACTTAGCTAGGGAATGTTGTCTGAGCCGGAATGGTGGCAGCATAAAGCTTGTTGTAAGCATGAACAATGCGCCACTTTCCATTGAGCTTTCTGACACCATATGTCGGTGTGGAATGAGGAGATTTGCTCTCACAAACCATTCCTGCCGCGTACTTTGCACGAAAGAAGTCATCAATGACTTCACACTGTTCCTTTGAAAGAGGCCACTGCCGTGTTACGCAGTATTTAGTTTCAGAAACTAAGTCAATCTCATGACGGACACCTCTATCCAGAGTTAAGACCGACGGTAGGTCGTGACACACCACGTCTTGAAATTCTTTTACCACAGGATAAAATGAATCGAGAGGATCCTTGAAGATCGAAGATCCACTACGGGCATCCAATGCCGCCTTTGTGTCCTCAAGGACTGCCTTGTCCAATAAAGAGGATAAATTCGACTCAATATCGGGTCGGATAACCACTAAATCGGATAACTCTCCTTCCTGCAAAAATTGGCTGAATTCGCCATCAGACATCTCGTCTAGTTCAAAAAGGGCATTCAAGGATGAAAGGGTCTCAAGACTATGTTGCCATCGACATCGCCAGTCACTCCATTGACAAGTGTATATAGTGTATCACCATCATAATTTCGTGACGTCCTAGACGTTGGTGTGATATAGTAGTTAATTAATTCCGTTGTATAACAGCCTCAACGTATAAACAAAACAATCGCCGATCTTAGTCGGCGCAACGGGATGGTACGTTTGGATAAATACCTACGCGATTCGCCCCCTCGGGATCAGCTGCGGCTTTCGCCTAGCCGATTCCTTACAACCACTCCTCCAGAAGTCCGCCTGAGCTCAGCAGCTTTTTAACCTATCTCTTCCTGTGACCTCACACGAACGGGTGGAAGCGGACGCTCAAGCGAATTTACAGGTCACCGGGCGCAGTGTACGCCCGTGTAGAAGATCTTCGATGCCCTCGGCTGAGGCTTACCTGCTTGTTGCTCGACAAGACTTTAAACGGTGCCGTCTATTGGGTCACCGGCTTGTCAACGGCGAGACTCCTTCCTTCGCTAGTAGCGAGCGCAGCCCAACCCGGGTTTTCCTTATCTCTTGGCGCAACCAGTCGGTACCTCTACAAGCTAAGCCTCTCGAGGTTCAACGGCAGGCATAATCTAGCCTACGCAGGGACTTACCTTAATATACGCGTGTCTAGGACTAATAAAATCATGCACAGCATTGATTTATCTCTTTTCCTATCGCTGAACCGTTGAGTAATTCTCTGTTCTTCTCTTTTTTCCTTATACGTAAAATTAGGGGTAATGAATCTTCGTCGATCTTCTCGCACCCTGCATCTGTGCTCTATCTTCGACGACTTCAAGTTCGATGACCTTTCATTCGATGTCCTCAAGGTCGTCGACCTTGAGGTCGACGACCTTGACATCGCCAACCATCGATCGTTCAGCGCTTCTAAGTATGTCGATCTTTGCCTTAAATCTCTCCATTACGACCGCCCCAGTCGTGGTTAGATCCTAGCGGGCGAGTGTCTCGACTTCATTGTTCCATTTTCTCTGTGCCTTGTCGTTCGTCGTTTTTTCTTGCTCGCCGCTTCTCGTATTAGTTTCGACAATAATGCTTTTACTCTTGGCTTTTACGTCCGCTGGTTGTCTGAATTTTGTCTTGTTGGTTGCTTGTGCCTGACCCCTTGAAGCCTGTCGACAACCAGGCTTCGGCAGATGAAATTAAGGTCGGACTTGATGCTGAAAAATCTCCTGTGCCTACCGCGTTGGCCGTCGATTCACCGACCGCTTCTGCGACTGCACCGGCATCCGTCGAGCTTGTTTTCGTGATGTCTATAAGTCCGGTAGCGACGGCCGCTACATCTTCTTCGAGCTCTCACTCTCTTGGCTTGGACGATCGTGATTCTGAAGCTGCGCCAGACGTTCTTCGTATCATTTCGATTCTTGACGAATGCATGCAAGATCGTGAGCTCGATTTTTTTCGAGTTTAAGCCGCTCTGCTGTAATCGCCTCGTCTTCTTCTTGATGTATTCAGTCGGCAGTCAATTTCTCGAACGAGGACGCTTGCGGGCTAAATTGTTTCGACGACTATAGTTGTAGTCTCTGCTGTGGATCACTCTAGCGTGATAGCATCACTCTGCGTGGCACTTGCGCAGTCTAAGCGCTCGAACGCTCCCCTTTGACGACGTACTCAAGCTGCCGTCGCGGAGTCGGTGGATTTACGCCACCGGTTGCCGACAACCGAGAATGAGTCTAAGACTTGGAAGAGTGCAGCTCTTAAGACTGTTAAGATTAGATGATACGAAGGGTATGTTATGGACATGCATAGGATGAAGCGTTTCTATAATATGCTCCACTTAGTACGGTAGAATAGGATACCAGTACGAGCATTTCGTAAGCATGCTGAAGTTTGAGTGGAAATGTGTGGCAGCCATATTCCAGAGGTCACCGGTTCGATACCCGGCTGTGAAAGTTAAACCTTAGGGTCCTGGTGTTTGGGGTTCACCAGCACTGTCCTGCCAGACAGTGACTTCTTCCATTTTTGTGCTCAGTGGAAAGGATACTCACATCAGAGAAACCGTTTTATGGGCAAGTAACATGGGAAAGGAACGCCAGGATTGATGGGGCAGTTGGAATGAAGAAGTGATTCAGAAAGATGAGTAGCAACGGTAGGAACGAGTTACGCTCATAGAATAATGCACCTTTGGTTTTTCTGCTTCGACCAACAAGTGTTCTTCACTTCGACGCTCTGCTACTTTTTAACAAATACCACCGAGCTCATTGACTCGCTCTATATATATATTGCCTTCATGGAAGCGTCTGCAGCTCTGGCAGCTCGACATCGCGACGATCGTTTGGCCTCGGCTGAAAGGTTGGTCGTAACGCTCAAGGCTCGTCTTCTCGATAGAGACAGGCAGATCACTCAGCTAACGTGCCAACTCGCCCACGCGGAAGCCCGACAGATTACGGTTGAAGGCGTCGCGACCCCATATTTTCTCCAGCTTCAGTAAGACACCGCCGCCTTGTGCACCGGTGATGACCACACTATTCGGATTGCTCAGCATACAATCAGCCGCCAGCAACAAGTCATCCGGTAACAGAAGGCACTACTTCGTCGTGGGTACATTCGTTGCCCGCTGGACCCTCACTTCGCGACGGATGATGCGGTCCGTGTTGACGTTTCGGGAATGAATCCGCGCGACATGGACTCAAATGTTCGCTTCTGTCGTCTATTTGTCACGCAATTCCAAACGTGATTTCTCTCGGTGGGTCGTCGACTTAACAAAACATGGTTATGCGTCTTGAGCCTACAACGGCTTCTTTTCGACATATTAAAACAGGCGAATGCCCGCGCTGTGTTGATGGGGTCGCCTCCTCGCACTGCTTCGCTACGAACGTCGGTGTCTGTTGTATCTGATCCCGTCGATTTGTTCCTAAGTAATCTTCTATTTCTATCGTGTCCCGGGAAGACACCTCATCGCCCCGACCTCGTCTTACACTGTACAATCATCGTCGACAGTGTACACTACATCGACGACGAATGATGTCGTCTGCAGTGTGTCGTCTTCGGTCTCTTGAAGCACTTCCGTCCAAACGTTTCCCTTAAACCGAGGTTTTCTCAAGAATCCAGCACTTCTTCTTTGATGTATATTCCAGCGCTGTCGTGGGGAGCGTCCGGGTCTTCGCCTGATCCCCTTCGCCCTTTCATTAATTTCTCTTCGTCGTTGATCTTCTCGCCATCGTACCCAGTGGTGTTCACGCCGTCATCTGTGAAGTCTAGGTCTGCTGCCAGCTCGTCGTCGCCGACAACTTCGCCCCAGTATTCTGGCTTACTCTCGGCGAACGTTTCTCCGTAGCAGCTTCCTCCGACGATTGATTCCACTTCTCCAGATTTACCCGCGTCCATGACTTACCCAAGTCTCGTCGACAACCAGGCTCTGGTCGCTTCAGTACCCGCAAGGTCTCCGTCGCTCTCAAGACGAAGCCCAGGTCTCCCCGAGCTTCATCTCTAACGCGACCACTAGCACGGAGTCCGTCCTAGGCTGAGTCATTTCCGGCGCCAGCGTGGGTGATGACTCGTCGGTCGGCACGTTGCGCATCCGGGTCGACGACTGTGACGTCCGAACCCTTGTCAAGCCCAGAACCTTTGTCGATTAATTCCCCTGTTCATTCGCCTCATTCCGCTGCTTCCGTGGATATGATCCACGCTTAAAGCAAGCATGCCTCAAACGCCGGTCGTTGCTGCTGTTCATGATGTCGTTGTACCTCCGTTTGCTGGAGCAGTCACGAACCCAGTCTCGTCTCCCGCGCCAAGTATAACCTTGTCTCCGGGGAAGGTCTGTTCTGTGGTAGCTCCGTCGACTTCGCTGGCTTCCGCACCCGTCTCGCCCGTGATTGTTTCGTCGATGCGGTCTTCTGGGACCCGTACGCCAAGCCCGTCCAAGAAGAGGAAGTTCTACTCCCAATCTAACGACCAAGCGCCACAAAAAGTCAGCACCCAGTGCTTCCGCATCCTTGTTGGCACACTTTCCTCACTCGCCGACCCCGCCGAAAGCCGTCGCTGTTGCTCCTGAGTGCTCCGTGCTGAATGCCGCTCAATAGACGGAATCTCTGGATTTGCCATATTCCCTACTTCGGTCTTGAGCGAATTAAGTGATTGCGCGTGACTCTCGTTCATCTCCCGCCATGTGTGCAAGTCGAGATGTAACATTTTATCACTATGTTTCGCTCGCTGTTGGTCGCGCATTGTGTCCTCGCAGTCTCCTATCGGCAAGTGCATGAAGGGTCGATCCCTTTCGTCGCTCACAATCCGATCTCTCTCGCTATAATTCAGGCATTTGCGGACGTGTTCAACCCATCTCATCCGTGCCAACGCACGTTGGCTTTGACTCCTTCCGATCCCTTCTTCTTGTCTGGAGACGCGTTGGAAAGCGCACGTTACCGATTACGCACTAACAAGTATTTCTTATCCAGATTCTCCGATGCCTGAGGTATCCGATGCGTGGGTCAAGTATCAGGAGACTGCAGAGATCGTGTGGCGCTGGTTGGTGTTGACAATCGTTCACGTATATACGTTACTCTTTGGGAACGTACTCACTGGCTTCTGGACTCGAGTGTCCTGATGGGCATGCATCCGTACTAAAACCCCAACCGTTCGGTGGATGACTTGATTCGCATTCACGCTGCGTGGGTGGGTTACAACAGTGCTCGTTAACGTCGCGGTGATCTTCTGCGAATGATTGCAAAGGCTCCGAACCGTGTCCTCCGTGACGCTACTGCCGTGTGGACAACGATTGGGCCGGCCCTTCGACTCGACCCGGATTTATTCTTCGAGCCGTCGGTCCCCGTGTACGCGATCATGAGTTATGCTTGGGTACCCGCTAGCACCTATTGGATCTCCGATATTGGTGCTCTTGACCATGATAAACCTTGGCTTGGTGGTTAATTCGTCCGTCAGAGCACCCGTATAACACTTGTTTCGCCCGCGTAACCAGGGGTTCCCGGTCTTTGTGCATGTGGGTGCATCCAAAATAGATGTGGAGTCCTTGATCGTTGAGGATGTTGATCCAGCTGAGGCTCCACCCCCGGCTATTAAACCGTCCGCACCGGAACCGGAAAATTGTCATGGTATGCAGATTTTTTCTGATGATCCTCGTCGCGGCTCTACGCTGTCCCCGGGTAGTTACATCTTCAGCGTCGCTAACATTCAGTCGGCGGTCACTTGGACGCGATCTCGTAATCGTTCAATCCAATTCATTTCTTTGTATCTACTCATGCATGTCAGTACAGTATTATTATTTCTTCCTCCGTATTCAGCTTAACTTAGGGAGGATATGCGCACTGTCGTTCGCTTACTGATCGTCGGTGACTCGCGCCATCAACAGACAATTCTCTCGCTTCTTCTTCCTCAAGTAGTCGAATAATAGGCCTTGACACGACAGGTTAATTAATGTCTCCCACGTGGGTTCATCGTATCTCACCATAATGACCAAGAACTTCCTCTGACTCCTGCCAGTCGTCGTCGTCCTTTTCGTGTCGTCATCCAATATAGTTTGGACTTCGTATCGACTACTCGCCTTGTCGGACACCCATCTGTCGTCTGGCAGTAGTTCTTCATCGAGGTCAAGTCGATCTGTTTCCCCCAGTCCACGCGCCAGCTTCGTCGTTGGGCGTACACCTCGTACTGTCACCTTCTTCAAGCGTGATAGATGGACTGCTGAATAGAATCGATTGCCGCTTCTATCTGGCAACTTCAGTGCAAACGCAAACTCCTCAATTTGTTTCTTAACTCAAAAAGGACCATGCCACCTGTGTGCTAGCTTCTTTTTAAGTCCAGACTTCACCCGTTTCATGAATAGCCACACCTGATCTCCTTCATTAATCGCTGAATTAGACAATCTCCTGGTCGTCGTATTTGGACTTCTGTTGTCACCTGTTTGGTCGACTTGATTACATGACGCCTCATTGTCTCGTTCAGTATCCTGTACGGTGTTCGTAGACTCTATCAGTCGCTCATATATACTGAGTAGCTCGTTATGTTAACGCGCCCGTCTTGCTTTCTCCCTCAATTGATACGCCTTTTCTTGTGTAGTGCCACTGTTCGCTGCCTATTATACTCGCGGCGCCAAAGGACTGGATCTGTCGATTCCACCACCCTATTATTCCTTGGATTGGCGAGTCGCATTGACTCTGTCATCGCCCTCAGTGTTGAGTGGGCATCATAACCATGTACCAAGTAGAACGGCGTCTCTTTTCTCGTTGAATCCCTTGAGTTGTTAATGGCGTGTACCAGTTTTTCTGCAATGTCATCCCAATCTGCTTGTTGTTGATCTTCTACGTAGAACCGCATCGTTTGTATCATTGTCTTCACACTTCGCTCTTGTTGTTCGTTAGCTTGTAGGCGATGACTGAAATTGGCTCTTGACTTTACTTGCATCATTTCAGCAAACATTTGTAAGACCTCACTCATGAACCTAGGATCGCTGTCGTTACGAATAAGACTAGGAGCACCGAAATGACGTAAGATATTCCCTTCAAATTCGTTCGCTACCTCCAGTGCCGACGTATCGCCATGGCTTAAGCTATTATAAACCCCGTAAAATGGTCTTGAAACAGTAACAGCGCTGTGTTTCCCAGACTAGTCTTCAGAAGTGGGATGACAAAGTCCATAGACACCACCTGAAACGGCCTCTCGGAGACTATATTCCCCGGCGAATGCCCCTTACGGGTTGGCTTGCTTTTGCTTGTACTGCAATCTTCGCAAGCCTGTACGTGCCTTGCCACGTCTGCATACAGCCCGATTCAGTAATAATCCGTCTTGACCTTATGATATGTCCGTACGATTCCTTGATGACCGCCTTCTATCGAGTCATGACAATTTAACAGGATTTATCGACTAAAGTCGTTGAAATTACGAATCGTAGTTTAACATCATCTTTTTGTGTCTCTCTTTATTCTCCTTGCCGTCCCACGTAATAAAGCAACCCTTCCTGGCTCAGCACGAATCGATCAGCGATCTTCCCGAATTCGCTAGCTTGGCGGTGTGACGTTTGTCCAATTCTCCTCGCAGATACGTCTGGAGGTCTGCCCACATCGTCTCTTCATCTTGTGCGGTCGATATCCGTTCTCTCCGTTCCTGTTGGACGGCTGTTGGGTCGATATCCTCCGCACTCGATGATCTGCGAGTCTCTATCTTCGGTCGGGTCACGGTGTGTCGAACGCGCTTCTCATATTCTTGATATACTCTCAATTCTTCCCTCTCCTCTGTCGGAAGTTCATTGTTCAGCTGGTCGGCCAATCGCACACGACGAGTTGTACTCCGTGTAATTACTGACACCGCTGGCTTTGCTTCGATGACCTCATCGGGTTTTCTATCTCAAACTAACTTTCGTGTATCCGATTCAGTATTCGTAGCTCTTCGTAGCGTTCGTTACCTATGAGTAGCTTCTCCGTCTTGGCCTCCAGTGCTTCCATGGCCAAAACGTCGGCAGCTGCATTGTAACGGCAGATAACGTGCAAGTATCGTACGTAATTGACTGTCATAGCTAATTCTTTATGAGGTGCCAGTTCTACTTGCAGTGCGTGGTGTTTACATGCGATCACTCCCATGGCTTGTTGGATCGCTAGCTCCGAGTCCCCCACTATGATCATATCAGCGACTTGGTGATCCAATGCTGCTTGAGCGCCTTGGTTCATGCCAGCGTATTCTGCCAAGTTTACTGTGGTAGACGGAAGGCAATCACTCGCAGCCATTACGACTGTCCACTCGGGCAGTCTCTCCAATATCCACGCACAACTTCCAAATCTGCCATGTTTTGCCGTCTTCGACGAGCCATCGAAAGGCATGACAAACCCACTAAATTCAGACGAGACTCGTGGGTATAAAAGTTTAAGATCATGGCGGACTATTATTCCGTGAGTAGGACGTGGGGCAATGTGGGCTAGCGATATGTCGAGTCCTACTGTTGGCGTGATGGATGCCTGGAGTAGCTGTAGAAAGTCGACATCGCGCTCGCCTACTCTTTTGATTTTCAAGTGATAGGGTGACAACAATGCATTAAAGCTGACTGCGCTGCCATACAACGATTTGGACGAGAAGACCAACTCCAATGTCGAGCATCTCGTATCGACATGGATCATATACCCTACAAGAAATTTATGTGCGACCTTGATCAGTTGTAATAATGCTAGCACCTCGCGTTCCGCCGGGTGGTAATTCTTCTCGTTCTCCTTTAAAACGCGGCCGCAAAATCGCACTAGATGACATTTGTGATCGTGGCATTGCATTTAAGTGCTACTAAGTGCCCAGTCGTTTGCGAATATCATCACGTGAACATCAAGACCTAGATCAAAATAATGGAGTATAGGCGCTTTGGCGATTTACTGTTTGAGAAGCTCAAACGATTC